AATTTATTATACTTTAAGAGACGTAACTGTATTTGTAATCGCTTACCCATTTTATGTAACAAGTCTAGTATTAACTATTGTAGCGAAACGTCGGGGTTGTTCAAAGTTAGGCGCATCGGACGACCAGGGAGACGAATAAGTGTGGGTGAAACTCCGCGGAGGCAATCGATGAGACGTCAACACGATGATTTCGGGGAGCACTCATTGGGGGTTTATTTAGCTAACACAACTTCAATTTACAAAATGCACTGGGTCACAAAGACAAAACATAGAAAATGGTGACATACCCCTCGGCCTGCATGGCCTGGTCTCCCGTGGTGAGATCCGCTGTTTACCCCGACTCCGCTCCCTTTTCAAGTTCAAACATCCTCTTTTTAACCCTTGGTCGAACAAAGAGTCTTCACAAAAACCAATCACATGTTGGGACTCGCAGCATCACAACCAATCACAGAAACACTTTCATAAAAGGCACTACAGTTGTAAAAACCTCCTTACCAAATGAAACACGCAAAGGGATAAGTTCACCGCACGGGACACTCTCTCCCATACCAGGCCGTGCTGCCTCCTTCGGCCGACTACCGTTGGTGGCCGTTCCCACGCTCGGGCCCCGTAAGTTCTTTCATTAACTGTTGCTTCCTAGAAGTGTCCTTAAGAGCGATGGGTACACCATTGCTTACCAGGTGTACATGCGACAGCGAGGCGCCCCGACATCCTAACAACGGCGCGAGAGAATATGGTCGTTTACCTGCCGCCATTATGTCTCGGTCAGGCTAAGTGGTCGCGTCCCCATGTCATTCTCAATGACACGCGTACCTGTTAACAATGGCTTAGACTCAGACGGTGGCGCCGGACCTGCCTTTTGCTAGACGCTTTTCCGAGTAAGCTTTCCCCTTCTAATCCCGAACGGGGATGACCTTGACTGCTGCGTTTGTAAGCCGTAAAAGAACAAGATTCTCCGCGAAACCTTGCTCTCAAGACACTATATCGCCACTTGCGTCAAAAGTATGCCTCACTGAAACACTGGTTGTTGTTACGACGGCGCTTGGGCTGATAAGGGAGCGGCGTATTTTGTTGATCAAACGAGTAGCCGAAGAGCTGCCAGCCTGATGTCCGGCGTGTATTGTCTTTCCTAGCTGCGAAGTCAGGCCCCATGCAGTTCGACGCCATAAGGTGTTCAATGAGATGGCCACAATCGTTTCCGTGGTCACGACATGTTCCTGGAAGAGACACTGGCGTCAGCCCCGACGACAACTTTTGAGGCATCCGGTAGTACGACTGTGGGACCCATCACCCAGTGGCCTTGTCACTTAAGCAAGGGACACCTCGGTGCCACGGGTGCAGCGTGGTGACCACGCTCCAGTTAAAGACATTCGCCTGGGCGGGTGTTGGTGGCACCATCGGAGGTGGTGTGTGTGTCCCGTGATTAGACTGTGCAATGTGCACCCATTCCCCGATATAGAGACCTGAGGAGAACGTGCTCTTTAAAATGAGCCACCGAGTGCATTCGTCAGAGATATCTCATGCCATGTGCAAAATGCAATAAACCCTGTGTTAATTTACCTTCCTCCAGCATCTACATCTGACACAAGCATGACACAACCATGCCACGTGTCTACACGACGCAAACATGCGCCACGGCATGGCGAAAGTTTTTGTCGTGGCAATAATGTCGATATTTCCGGAGCCTTTCACTACAGCGGCTCTCGAAATCACATCCTGTTTTGTTTGTAACGTACAACCAGAAAACATTCAAATGCTTCCTTCAGTATTTCGCTAACAAATCCTGAAAAGCAGCAACATTTATCATTGCAGTGTACACATTGTATTAACAGGATTATGGGCCTCCGACAGGCAGGCCAAGTGTGGATGGGCTTACCAATATTTGTAAAGGGCGGCTTACCATCTATGACTTCTATAGTGAATCGTATGCCCATTCGTTGGCTCTCTGCTAGTTGTTCACAGTCAAGCTAAGGCGATCTGCATTGTAGCCATCACCATTCATTGGATGCCTTGACTCACAATCTTGCCGTCAGCAATCGTAGTAACCGCATAATGCTTTTTATGTTCCCTTTCTTACCATCCTTGTGCATCGTACGATGCTGTTGCGGAGGGCCACTCGGCAGTTCAGTATCTTCTCAAGAAATGGATCGAGAAGTGCGCACACTACTTTTCGCAGTCTTCAGATTTATATTTGCTTTCGTACGCGTTATTGACTACCGATGGAGCAGGATGTGTCGGGAATGTAGTAACTTTTCCATTCTACCTGAAGTGGTACGGGAAAAATTAGTCTAACCGTTCTTTCATTTGTGGTGGTGGTCCAATACTAAATTTGAACTCTGCGCCCAACGAAGGTGCTTCGGCAAAAGTTGTCCGTCCACTCAGACCCGCAAGATATTTGGAGCGGCGCTGATACACGATACATACCACTCGCTTCTGGCCGCAGTACTATGGTGAAGCGTTTCTGGGCCTCCGTTTATTCCTTGCTCTTTTCCTGGCCTGTTGAACGAATGTGACACGTGACTAAGAGAAATAGTAATAGTTATCATAACTGGGACTTAAGCCCTCAAAAGCAACTTATGATTACGAAAGACACCGTACTGCAGGGCTGTGGAAGTTTCGAGCACCTGCGGTTCTTTAACGTCTACCTAAATGTAAGAACAAGAGCCTCAGGCATTTTCGCCTCCACCAAACCTGTAGCCACCACGGCAGGGATTTTATCCCGTGACCTGTGGGTCTATAGCCGAGTGTCTTACCACTAGACCACTATGGCGGGTAAGGATAAAAAGTAGCCTAACATTTTCGGTATTTTACACAGCGTAGCGAGGCGTTCACGGGATGGTGGTGGTCTCTTTATTACGCCTAAAAAGAGGTGACGCCCCTCCGCGGTGGTCTAACGGTTATGGATTTTGATTACTAACCAGAAGGTCGCGGGTTCGGATCCCAACGTCGGCGGCTGCATTTTTGATGAAGGCAAAAGTGTTAAACGCCCGTGTACTCAGCCATAGGCACACGTTAAAAAAAACCCTAAGAGGTCTAAATTTCCGGACCCCTCTGGTATGGAGTCTCTCATAACCACAGCGTAGTTTCGAGCCGTTAAACCCTAGGTAATAATATTATTAAATAAGAGATGACCAGTCCGAAAACCAATTGCGCTAGCTCAGAGCAGGTTGGCGGGGATCCGTAAAGATGTCGCAGCCTATTCCGTGCGCTGTATCAGCCAACATTGGTCTGCTCACTCGAAAGAACATGGAGGGGGGGGGGGGGACTTTCACAATCTGGGGTGGAAAAATGGCGGCCATACTAACTGTAAGCAGCGCTTGTCCAGAGCGTCTGCTTTTGACGTGCGTGTTACTTTTCACACGCAAACGTAAATGCCCCATTTGTCAAATAGCTGTTTCGATGTGTGTCTACATGCAGAAGGAAGAAAAACGATGCACTGCGAGAGTGGCACTTGCGAGGCAAGTCGATTGACGAAGTTTGCTACACGCCTCGTCATGCGCCATATGCTGGGCATTTTACTCCATATTACGAACTGCCAATTTCCGCAGTTGGACTTCTAATCCTTTTCGAGCCGCTGCTATACTCAGAAACGTGTCTCTATGGCACCACAAGTAGGAAACTTACAAACACGCTCAATTGGTGCAATACCAGTGCAACGCCAGCTCTGTCACGTCAGCGCGTGTCAGAACGGTATCACACGCCTGCGGTCAGATAAAACTGGTCTGCACGACACAATTTCACGCGGGACTCGATGAGCGATTGCACGTCCACATTTTTTCAACCTTGAATCCCTCCGTCAGAGTCAGTCCCTCCGCGAGAAGGTTTTTCTTATTGAGGGCTAGTCCGGGCCGACCGGGTTTTTGCACCCTTTTTCGCGCTGCCCTCCTATCTCTTCTGACGCTCTTATCTCGCCCTTAGCTTCACCTAGGCATTCCACTGCGATCTCTTCGTCAACACTTTCTTTCGAGTGGACATCTCTCAATATAGAGTGGCTGAGAACGGAGAACTATTTTTTTTTTCAGTAAACAAGTCCGCAGCATCCGCGCTAAAGAGTATTTCTTCAAAGCGCGTACTTTACGTGTCTAGTTCTCCAGCGGCACTTACCCTCGTGGCCCTTGTTAAAGCCACGTGCTTCCAAACTCTATGAAAGTGCCCCCTCCCCCAGGCAGTCCTTTGTTCTTTTGCACCAACTATATCAGTGATCGGGCAGTCTATCACGCCATTGCAATATGTAACAGTGGGAGTTCGACTTTCAAGGTCTTTTGGAACAGAACCAAAAGCTTCCACGTTATCACCGACTGCCTCATCCCAAATTCTTCAACAGTCCGCTCTGTAGTGTGTCGAACCCGTACCCCGCTCACACTATCATCATCACCCTCCACTGGAAGACAGCTGGGGCGACGGGTGTAAGCTATCCCATGTATAGAATCTGGAACACGATGTTTCTTCACAGGTGGGCACGTTCATGTCTATGTATGAAACTCCTGGCTACTGCAAGACCAGACCAGCTCTGTACCGCTAATTAGGCTTTTTGAACTTTGACAGAGCCTCAGAAGATTTGCGTGTTGGAGAAGTAGACAGCTAGTCGCATAGGACATGGTGTGTCAGTGCAGACATATGTGTCCGGCAATACCTAGCGAATACATATTTGTAAGAGTACTGAGCCGATACAATGTTGCATGCTGAAAGCCGTCCATGTCAGACATGTGGCTCGACAAGACATGAATTATATCTAAATACTTCTGCAAGGAGTCGAACTAAGCCCGTTAAACCAGGACCCTAACTTCAGTGCCACCGAGGGGCCGTGCATCGACCGCGGAGGCGAAATTCACAGAGTAAGCACTGACTGTCCGAAGAGCGACGTCACGGGCGATGCAGACGACCGCGACTACGTCATCGACAAGCGGGCGAGGAGGCGCGTGCCTCGAAGACGTGCGCCGCGCATCGGGCTGAAGCCGGCCGCTTCTCGAAGCCGGGCGGCCATGCCCGGAGCTCCCGTCGTCCAAGAGCTGCAGCCGCCGGCGCTGCGTCAACAAACAAAGCGGCCCACCGGCCGAGCGGCCCTAAACGCCAGCAGCGACGCACCCGAATCGGCTCATTCCGCCGGCTACACCCAGCATCGACGCAGCGCCGGTGACGCAGTCAACTCGCCCGGTGTGGTGCGACTCTCGTGAACAGAGGCGAGAGTTGCCGCGCTTTTCAGACTTCTACCCTTCGTCTTGCTTTTACTCGATAGTGCGCGTGCAGGGGTGCTTGTTGGAGAGAAGAGTGACGAACGGCGTTTGTGTGTGTGTGTGAGTGCGAAGCGCGTTTGTTTTGGCTGCGAGCCTTCTTGCTGTTGGTGCGTTGGACGAGACACCCGGTGGAGGAGAAGGGTAACGGGACCAGCGGGGGTTGGTGCCCAGCCCTTGTCTTTTCCAGCCGCCTTCGTCGGTGTGCGCACCGCCAAAGTGAACCCTCGCGAGTGTTCCGGCACGGCGCACCTCTTCCTTCCGTGACCGCGACTCTGTTGGAAGTGAGCATTCGATATCTGCAGAACGATCGTACGAACAAACGCCCCATCGTCGCGGGACTTGTCGTTTCCGATGAGGCGATCTGACGGGAACGCGGCTTGTAGCGCCGGCGTGAGTCGACGGACGTCGGCCGGCGCGCTGTTACTGCTTTCTGGATACCTGGCGGCGTCGATCGTGCTTGGTGAGTATTGTTCACGTCACCACGCCAAAATGTCCTCGTGAACAGGCTCGCAGGGAAAGTGATAATCGGCGGAGAACGTGATTACGACACACGGAGTCAGAAGGATAGACCATACGCGCAGATGCTAGGCCAAAAGGGGGCCAGTTTCGAAGCTATAGCATTTGCGTAGCTGCGTGAGTGTATAGATGACCCTTTTCTTGGCGTGTTTATGTGGCAGCGTTGCTTTTAAACATAACGCAACTATTGACTCGCGCCACTGCAACAGAAGCCGAGCGGGTTGGCTCCTTTTCACAAGACACCGAAGACTTACTATCAAATACTTTTTCTTACCTAAACGAATGAAAAGGTAGGAAAGGGTACACGCGTTAACATATGATAATGCGCTCCTGTTATTGTGAAAAAAAAAAACATGCTTTGACTTCTGGCTGCGCAATTGATAGGGCATCGACATCGTTCAATGCTTGTTGTCTTTACTTTTATTTTTATTCCATAACTAAACAAAGCTTACAGTGAAGTTAATAAGTAACAGCGATATTATTTTACATTATACACACGTTCACTACAAATCAGTTTTCATCTCTTTAGAGCCACTACACCGAAATTCCGTAAAAGTACGCAGAAATTACGTAGAAAGTGCGTAGAATTTACGTAGGAATATACGTAAAATTCATTGGTCGTCAATGCCCCGGCGATGTGCCACGGTACGAAGCTCATTGAACACCAAGCCATAGGGCTACAGTCGTAACAAAATTGCTATCTTTAATTACAACGATACCCATGTACTTGCGCATAAAATATGAGTACGAAGCGAGCCGGATCAATTTCGGGACGTACATTTAGCGTCATCTCTGAACATTATTGTGCGTGGTGCCGGTTTTTGACAATCACTACTTTACGAGGTGAGCTTGAATAATGAAGTGATTGACACGTACAGAAAGTTAATATTGTCTAACTAGGTTGCTAGACAGACCGTCGGGAAGTTGCAGGCTTACAAGTAGCAGGGGATGTAGGAGAGGACCGTCGAAAAAGCGAAATACTTTCATGCAGCGTACGGAAAATTTTTGTGATAAGGTGGATAATTTAACGTGTTACTCTACTGTTTGTCCGCCTAGGTGTTACGGTGCTCAGCTGCTGAGGCAAGCGTCGTGGGTTTGATCTCGTCCACGGCGGTCGTATTTCTATTCATTCATTCAGTTTTATTTCCTTAAAGACCCCCGAAAGTGTATTAAATAATGAGCGGGTTAACATACCATCGGTAGTGTTGTCGCAAAGATGAATGCAAAGTCACATTTGAAATACTATGCATGAAGCTTGGATGAGCAGGTGATTGTCGCGGTGTGATAGGAAAGGCCGTCGGTGGCTCGGTGATGCCTCCATGTAGGAAGCTCACTGGCACTAAGCAATCGGGCCACAGTCGTAACCAATATTGTGATCTTTAATTACAATGATGGCCATGTACTTTCGCGAGGTGAAATGATGACGATGCTACCAAAGAAATATCAATATGGTACAGCGTCCGCTTCTAATGCGGGAGGTACTGGGTTCGATTCAGGCCCGGTGGCGGCCGGAGGCTACCGGATTCAAAGGCAGACGGATGGTGTACCCGGACCTGGCTCAATACTTTAGTACTCCGCTCGCCCGATACCTCCGGGTTGAAGGTACGAGCGGGCGTTGTGGTTGTGCTATGGCACGAGGATGCTGATATCTACATGATGGCTTACGCGTAAGAGTGTATTTGATGCCGGGTTGCTGACGAACATTATTTAAGACATAGCCTTTCGTAGTTGGTACCCACGATCTTCCGACTGGTGCGGCAGCTGGCGCGATAGCACGCACCAGATGCCACGTACCATGGTGGAAACGTGACGTGTCCACCTGACTTGTGAAGCGGGACTGCGTAGCCTCACGAGTTAAAATATTGCGCACGACTTCCACCAGCATTTGTTTCCATTACTGAATGCGTTTGTTTCACTTGGGTGTGACACCAAATAAATAAAGAATATTTAGTCGACGGCAAGCGCGACATTTGAACCTCGAGGTCATATGACTAACAACACGCTCCCATGTTGTTAGTCATATTGAGCGTGACTGTTCATGATGGTGATGAACTGAGCTGTTGCCTTCCGCAACGGTTTGGAAGCTGCCCAATCCTGCTAAATTTATGATTGATTGATTGATATGTGGGAAGAAGAACGGCTATTTGGGCTAGTTGGTTGGAATTCAGCGCTCGTGTTGTCCTCTTTGCTTTCCTTGCCTCCCCTTTCGTTTCACGTTTCTTCTAGCACGTTCGTGCTCGCGCTGCAGCCCTTATTACCATGATATGTGGGGCTTAACATCCCAAAACCACCATATGATTATGAGAGACGCCGTAGTGGAGAGCTCCGAAATTTCGACCACCTGGGGTTCTTTAACGTGCACCCAATCTGAGCACACGGGCCTACAACATTTCCGCCTCCATCGGAAATACAGCTGCCGCAGCCGGGATTCGATCCCGCGACCTGCGGTTCAGTAGCCGAGTACCTTAGCCACTAGACCACCGGGGCGGGGCAACTGTAACTGAACTTGTGCACTGGCGTTGTCTCACACGTGCTTTCTCACACGATAAAATGCTCGCGACAGGCCTTTTTTTAAAGTGATATAGTCTTTTTTGGTGACAATGGTTTTCATTGGGATAATGAAACGCTGAAGTTTCGATCTGCCAGTCTGTCTGTCTGCGAACAACACAATTCAGCCGCCTAGCCAAAGTTTGAGCCTTTGCTCAGGCATCTTGAACTGGTGGCTGCGTTCATACATTTGAATATTGTCAATCAAAACGCAAGTTTTGCGCATATCTGAGGCACCACATCAATACGTGAGTATTAGGTGGTTTGTTAATTTACTAGGAAGTACGCAGATACCAAATCCCAAAGACCCTGGTATTTATTAGGCTGCACTGAAAATGCGCCGCTATGCACGAAGGAAGGCTGGCAGAAAATTTACATGACATTTGCATTGAAGCACGCTGATACGGGGCCAATTTTTTAGGGGCGAAGCTCCTTAGGGCGTGGGCTGTGCGTCCCCTGTAGCCTGTATGTAGCCACCTCTAGTTTAGTTCTTGCAGTGTTCACTAGATGGCGGTACGGTCCCCTGTATGTAGCCACCTCTAGTTTAGTTCTTGCAGTGTTCACTAGATGGCGGTACCGTCTCCTGTATGTAGCCACCTCTCGTTTAGTTCTTGTAGTGTTTACTAGATGGTGGTACTTGGAGCTGATGATGAAAAGATGCAAGATGTTATAAACTAGAAAGCGGTACTTGTAGTTGATGAAAGACGCGAGATCTTATAAAATAGGAATGATGTCACATATGGCGCGTGTCATTGGTTGAAGGCAATCGTTCGATTTAGTGCGGCGACGTACGCTAGGGGGAGCGATGTAATAAAATCGAGTGGGCAAAATGTACAGAGGATTCATGGTTTACCAGGTTTACCTCCGGAGCTTCGCCCACTCATCATCATTCACTTCGTGGATATGGCGGAATTTTTTAGGGGCGAAGCTCCTTAGGGCGTGGGCTGTGCGTCCCCTGTAGCCTGTATGTAGCCACCTCTAGTTTAGTTCTTGCAGTGTTCACTAGATGGCGGTACCGTCCCCTGTATGTAGCCACCTCTAGTTAAGTTCTTGCAGTGTTCACTGGATGGCGGTACCGTCTCCTGTATGTAGCCACCTCTCGTTTAATTCTTGTTTGGTTTCAGAAAGGTTTAGTGAGCGTTGAGCCGCCGTGCCATGAATACAGTGAACTAGTATATACCATGAACTCGAGGTGGTTAAAGGTGGGAAGTAAATACGAAACGCAAGCCGTAAGAAGCAAAAGCTGAATTCTCTTGTCTCTCATTCCACATTAGCAGCCATTGGCATGTACATTGAGTACTATCTGACAAAAAGGGTTGCTACGTTATACTCGCTGGGCGTAACCTCCTTGGTTTTAGAAAGGTTTAGCGAGCGTTGGGCCGCATAGCCATGAATACAGTGAACTAGTATATACCGTGAACTCGAGGTGATTAAAGTGGGAAGTAGACACGAAGCACAAGCCGTAAAAAAGTGTGCGTGTGCTATGTCTCGTTTAGTGCATGGAATGTCCGTTGGGTGGTGGTGTTTCTATATGGGGAATATATGATAAAAAGATGCGAGATGGTGGTACTTGGGGTGTTGAATGGATGGATGAACGGACACACAGACAGATGCATGGACGGACGCACGGATGCCTCCACGGAAGGACGGACGCATTGACGGACGCTGGGGCGGATGCATGGTCGAACCCGTGCGGATGCACGAACAGATGCAGGCATGGACGGGCGGATGGACGCATGGATGGTCACACACACGGACGAATGGACGGACGGAAGCAAGAACGAATGGACGGAAGGATGCTTCGCCCCACTCTCCATCATTCACTCTGTGGATATGCTGCCCTTTTTTTTAGGTATAAGAGCGACGCTTTTTAGCAATTACAACACGCACGTTCCATGAAAAGATGTGTTTCCGAAGCTTCATCAGAAAGACAAAGAAAAGCCATGCGACACGTGCCATGGTAGCGACAACCACGGGGCTGCTATCGCTAAGCCACTCTTATATAGCGACGGTGATTATATAGCGACGCAAACGATTTCCGCCGCCACCGGCTGTGCTTCTGCCGCTCGATCACATAAAGGCATAGGACGCGCTAAGTGCGTCCTTCCGAAAATGAAACGACGCATCGAGGAGCGAGGTTTGTCGCTGTGCGACAATGGCAAAGGCAGCCCATGCAGAAAACGCGGCCACGAAAAGGGGCAAGAAGAGGAGACGAGAAGGTACTGCCGGCAACCAGGAGTGGAATGCAGCACGTAAGCGAGCTCTACGCTCGAATGCCGAGAACGAGAAGTGCCACACTCGTGCTTCTTCCGGCAGTGCCGACGCGAGTTTGCAACGCGAGTTTCCCCTCATAGAAAGTCGGACATCAATTCATGTCAAGTTTGTGATCACTTGTGG